AGGACGTGACTGCTTCAAGGTGTGGTTGGGGGGAAGGTTTTTACTGTAGATCCGAGGAGAGCACAGCCAGAGGCAGCTGGAAGAGTGCAGAGCAGAGAGAGAAAGTCACCACTGAACCTGGCCTGAGAGTAAGAGAGCCTGGGGAAGGGCGAGAGTCGGGGTAGAGGAGGCCCAGAGAGAGGCAAGAGGGGGGCCGAGCTGGAGATGTTTAGGGTAGGGGGCAGGATGAGGAGAGCTGAGAGGAGCCACAGGCGCTGAGTGAGCCTGGAGGCCAGCATGTGCTTTGGCATGCTAATAGGCATACCCGACTTTCTTTAGGACCTCATATAACCCACAAGCATAGGTAACAGGGCTAGAGGTGACAGTGTAAGGATCCTATAGTCTCACATTTTAAGAAAATAATTTTCATAGCAAAATTCCTATTCAGAAGGGAAAAGCGTAATGTAAGTCACCAGTCAAAGCAATGAGTGTGATGGTTCATTTGTCAATTTGATTGGATTAAGAAACACCTAAGGGGCCCTCTGTGGTGGCACACACCTCTAATCCCAGCATGCTGGAAGTACAGAGGCAGGCAGATTTCTGTGAGTTCCTGACCAGCAGGGGGGTGGGGGGTGGGATGCTGATACATAATGAGACCCGATCTCAAAAGAGAAAAGAAAGACCTCCGTCACTGCGGGGACCAGACTGAGTAACAAGGAAAAGGGGAAAACAGAGAAACACCAGTGTTCACCTCTGTTTCCAGACTACAGACAGGTGACCAGCAGCTTCCTGCCCTTGTTGGCAGCCCCCCCCTTCCCCCCCCCTCCAGCTAACCATCCCCCACCCCCAGCCAGCAGCCCCCGTCCCAGCTGCTGGGCCTTCCCTACTGGGATTCACTCTATCATCAAAGTTTGAGTCAAAATAAGCTCCTTTATCCCTTAAATAGTTTCTTGTCAGGTATTGGGTTACAGTGGAAGCTAAAATCATTAGCAAGAGGCACGGTTAGATCTTGTCTCTTAGATTTTCAGTTACTGCAAATGCTCTCAAGTGAAAAGTTCTCTCAGATGCAAACAAACGAACACGTCATTTTCACCTTAGATACTCTTAACTTACATCTGCTCACATGCGCCTTACAATTACTGTTTTCCCTAGCTTACAGAAAAAACTGAGGCCCAGAGAAGCAACCTGTCCAAGGTCACAAAGCTGATATGCAGCTGCTCCTGACTCCAAGTTCATTGCTCTTCAAATCACCTGTGACTCACTAGTCCTCGAGATGTTATAATGAGTAAGCACAGTCCAGACTTTTCCAAGCCTTGATTTCTTTTTCTTTCTTTCTTTTTTTTTTTTAGACAAAGTCCCTGGTAACCCAGGCTCGCTTAGACTCCTGACCCTCTTGTCTCCACCTCTAGGGTGCTGAGATTATTATAGAAAAGTGTCAATAAACTGTTGGACTTTTTTTTTTCCGAATTGGAACAAAATGATTATGTTTGGAAGACAGTAGTTGAAGGCCATTTTGTGGGCAACCCACAATGTATAATATAGAAATTGTATTCCCCTTGCCCCTAAAAGCATGTGCCGCCTACCACTGTGCTGGTACACAGGTGTCTAACAGGCTCTGGGGTCAGCCTTCTGGGTTTGAACCTTGGTTCCATAGTATATGATCTGGGCAGGCTAACCTCCACGTATTCTCCCCCCTTTACCAGCTAAAAGGCAGGAGAACAATAGGGTTGCTGAGAAGGCTGGGGTGGGGAGTGGAGAATGTCAGTAAAGCCCTTAATCTTTTGTTCATCACATGCAAACTGCCTGACGCGTGATTATTCATTCGTGCTACTTAGTGCTGAGCTCCTAGATAAGTCTGTTGTATCCAGGGAGGAGGGTACATGGATGGTGCTAACTAGGACAAGAGGTAAGCCCTCTGCTTCGGTCTGCCAGCGGATTAGAGAGGTAATTAAAAGGCTTCTCCAGTAGGCTGCAAGCTCACAGCGCCCACTTCAAAATGGCTTCAGCCTGTGGCTATTTCTTCTGCTGCAGTGGATTTTCTAGGCATTATGCAGCTTAATTTAAAACGACTGGTGTTTTCTAAACACCTTGGTTGTTATTTTTTTCATCCAAGTCCCTTGCAATGACAGTCAGTGAATGTTCAGCATACATCTTTATTTGTTCTTTTTTTTTTTATGTGAAGCTTGTTGTTTTTTGGTGGGAAATGTCATTCTGAAAGCAGCCATGAATTGCATTTGATGACCATTGTCCATGTTGTCTGTATTTGTCGGTTTTTTTCTGTGGACGTGTTCTATTGTTTATTGGAAGAAAATTTTGTATGCATTTACATTTCAATTTTGTTTGTATTCATTTCCTGGTCTTCCTTCCTTTCTTCCTTCCTTCCTTCCTGGTTGTTGCTGGTTTTCCTGTTTTGTTTTCTGTTGCCGCTGCTGTTTGCTTGTTTGTGTATAGGGAAGTCAGATGGTCACACGCATCACAGCTGGGCCTTGAGTTTTGAAAGCTTGACTACACTGCATTCTCCCACATGCTCGTCCCTGCAGGGAGTGTAGCTACTGCTCTATCCTCCACCCTAGAGAAGTTCTCTGAGGGGAGGGAAAGTTAGTTGTCTTTTAGAAGGAGGACAGAGCTGCAGAGGGAGTTGTGAGGGAGGATGGGGAACACCTGCCTGGGAGGATGGGGAACACCTGTCTGGGAGGATGGGGAACACCTGCCTGGGAGGATGGGGAACACCTGTCTGGGAGGATGGGGAACACTTGCCTGGGAGGATGGGGAACACCTGTCTGGGAGGATGGGGAACACTTGCCTGGGAGGATGGGGAACATCTGCCTGGGAGGATGGGGAACATCTGCCTGGGAGGATGGGGAACACCTGCCTGGGAGGATGGGGAACATCTGCCTGGGAGGATGGGGAACAGCTGCCTGGGAGGATGGGGAACACCTGCCTGGGAGGATGGAGAACATCTGCCTGGGAAGATGGGGAACACCTGCCTGGGAGGATGGGGAACACCTGCCTGGGAGGATGGGGAACATCTGCCTAGGCCTCAGGTCAGTCAAATCAATCCTAGAAATCAAGAGTATGGCAGATGTGGCAGTCAGTCTGCCCTTACATCCTGCTTCACTGCTTAAAGTTGCTGCTATATAAGACTTATTGAATTAATTATATTATGAAATGTCCCTCTTTATTCTGATGATACTCTGTTTTGGAATCTATTTCATTTGATGTTAATGTTTACCCTCTGGGTTCTTATAACAAATATGATTGGGACTGAAGAGATGGCTCAGCTCTTTAGAGCATGCTCGTCTTGCAGAGGACCTGGATTCGATTCCCAGCATCCACAAGGTGACTCCTAACCATCTATAACTCTAATTCCAGGAAACACGGCAAAGAAACCTTTGATGGGCAGGAGTTATCTGCTGTCTCTATTGTGGTGATGGCTTCAGGTACACACTTTGAACAGAGCTTATTAAACTCTACATTTAAACATATGTGGTACTATGTTCAATTGTATCTCAGTATAGTTTTAAAATAGATTTTTCCTTTTTTATTTAAATTTGGAACAACTTGCTTCACATGTCAATCCCAGCTACCTTTCCCTCCCCTCCTTCCCCCTCCCACCAACCCCCAGCCCCCCATGGGGGATCCATGGGGAGATCTCCAAAGTTTGTCATATCATCCGGGGCAGGGCCTAGACCCTCCCTCATGTGTACAGGCTGAGAGACCATTCCTCCATGTGGAATGAGCTCCCAAAGTCCATTTGTATGCCAGGGATAAATACTGGTCTACTACTCAAGGCCCCATAGATTGCTGAGGCCTCCTCACTGACATCCACGTTCAGGGGGTCTGGATCAGTCCCATGATGACCTCTCAGCCATCATTCTGGGGTCCTTGAGCTCCCCCTTGTTCAGGTCAGCTGTCTCTGTGGATTTCACCAGCCCAGACTTGACCCCTTTGCTCATCACTCCTTCCTCTTTGCAACTGGTAAAATGGATTTTTAATATAATATTTTATTAATTCTTTGAGAATGTCAGAGAATTTACTTTGATCATATTCACCTCGTCATTCTTTCCCCCAACTCCTTCCAGATTTATCCCCAACTCCCAATCCTCTCCCCTTTCCCAACTTTTATGTCTTTTTACTTTTTTCTTTTTTCTTTAAAGAGCAGACGAGACTCTTTGTTTTTTTTTTTAAGATTTATTTATTTATTATGTATACAGTGTTCTGTCTGCATGTATCCCTGCATGTCAGAGGAGGGCACCAGATCTCATTACAAATGGTTGTGAGCCACCATGTGGTTGCTGGGAATTGAACTCAGGACCCCTGGAAGAGCAGTCAGTGCTCTTAGCCTCTGAGCCATCTGTCCAGCCCCATTTTACTTTTTTTCAATGACCCAATGAGTTTAATATATACAATCCAGACACTCCTGAGTGTGGGATCATCCATTGGAGTGTGGCTGACACACCAGTGGTCACATCCTTAAAGAAAACTGATCCTGGGGATGGAGAGATGTCTCAGTGGTTGAGAGCACTGATTGTTCTCCTGGAGGACCTTGGGTTCAATTCCCAGCACTCACATAATAGCTCACACCTGTCTGTGACTCCAGTTCCAGGGGATCTGACACACTCACACAGACATCCATGCAGGTAATCACCAATGCACATGAAATAAAAATAAATTTAAAGAGGAAGGGAGAAAGGAAAAGAAAAGAAAAGAAAGAAGCCAGGCAGTGGTGGCACATGCCTTTAATCCCAGCACTCACGAGGTAGAGGCAGGTGAATCTCTGTGAGTTTGAGACCCGCCCGGTCTATAGAGCTAGTTCCAGGACAGCTAGAGCTGATACACAGAGAAACCCTGTCTTTTTTTTTTTTTTTTTTTTTTTTTTTTTTGGTTTTTCGAGACAGGGTTTCTCTGTGGCTTTGGAGGCTGTCCTGGGAGAAACCCTGTCTTGATAAAAAAAAAAAAAAACCACAAAAAAAGAAAAGAAAAGAAAGGAAGGAAGGAAGGGAGAAAGGAAGGAAGGAAAGCAGGTAGGAAGGAAGGGAGGGAGGAAGGAAGGGAGGGAGGAAGGAAGGAAGGCAGATAGGAAGGAAGGAAGGAAGGAAGGAAGGAAGGAAGGAAGGAAGGAAGGAAGGAACACTGGTTCTTCAGCCCTCAGAAGCACCAGCTGTGACAGTTCCTTCCTCAGGGGTGGGGCTCAGTAGCCCCTCCCCACTCGACACTAGAATGTTGATTGACTTGGTCTTGTCCAGGCAGTCACAGCTGCCAGGAGTTCACATGTGCAGTCCTGTCTTTTCTAGAAGACACTGTTTTGCTTCAGCCTCCTCCGGCTCTCCGAATCCTTTTGTCCAGTTAGCTATGAATCTTCATTAACTGTCACCCGCTGCACAAAGAGACCTCTCCGATGAGGTCTGAGAGCTGCAGCAATCTACGGGGAGAGAAAGGTGAAGTTAGAGGACAGCTAGTCACTGTCTGCTTAGATTATCAGTCAACATCTGCTTCAGGTCCACCTCTGAGCTCTCCACTAGATTAACATTCTAGGTATGTGTTTCCTCTCATGGAATGGACAATAAAGCTGCTATTAAAGACTGTCAAATGGGATTAAAAAATACAATTAACCTTGCACTTACTCGTGGGCATTTTCCTTGCAGACATTTATCTCAGAGAACTGAAAACCTACATCACACAAAAACCGCACGAGTGTTCAAAGTAGCTTTATTCAACTTAGTAAGAAAACTAGAAACAACAAGACTGCCCTTCAGTGGGGGACTGGTTAAATCAACTCTGGTTATTCTCACAATGGCTAACCACTCAACAGTTGGTGCATGCCACCCAGAAGGATCCTGGGGCTTTGTAGGGAGGGGCAGAGACAAGGTCAAAAGGTCACGTGCTGTATGGTTCCAGTTATACAACATCCTCAGATGAGACAGTTGTGGAGCGGAGGGCACATTGGTGGCTGTCAGGTGACAGGGACATGTTAGCAGGGAGTGACTCTAAAGCAGGAGTTTATTTTGGGTGATACAGCCTTTCCGTACACTGATTGTTGTAATGGTCATTTGAGAACCAAATTGTCTCACACACACACACACACACACACACACACACACACACACACACACACACACACACACATGCACGCATGCAAATTAGCACACACACATACTGTTAAAACTGAACAAGGTCTATATTTTACTTAACAATATTTTACCAATCTTAATTTTCCGGTTTTGGTACTTTATTGCAGTCATATTAGATGTCACCCTTGGGGGAAGTTGAGTTTTAAGGGACTCTGTACTATTTTCGGCAACTTCTTGTGAGCCTCTAATTATTTTAAAATTTAAAAGTTATAATTATTATTGATTTTTGTGGTGCTAAGGATTGAACCTAGGACCTTGTATATGCTAAGCAAGCACTATATATACCCTTGGGCTACATCTCCAGCCACTGAAAGTAAGAATAATTTTAAATTAATAAGAAAACATAAGAGGAATAAAAAAAATTCTACTAGAGACTTGAGGTTGGGCTGGTTAACTTGAGGCTCTTTGAGAAAACATTTTTTTTACATTAATTTATTTAACGTGTGTGTTTGGGTGCATCGCAGGTTTGAATCCTCGTGGAAGTCAAAGGACAATTGAAGGAATTGGCTCTTTTCTTTCACCACGTGGATCTTAGAGAGAAATTCAGGTTGTCAGGCTTGGCAGAAAGTGCTTTTGACCTGCTGAGCATATGACCTAACTTACAGCTTTTGTTTTGTTTGCTTTTGTATTGTTTGTTTTGAAGCAGGATCTCACTATATAGCTCTGGCTGGCCTCAAACTCATCCATCTACTTCTGCCTCCCAAATGCTTGGACTAAAGGTGAGTGCCACTATGTCAGCTTAATTTATAGCTTTTTAAGCTACATCATTTCCCTAACGCTCCTCTTAATGCTTTAAGTAGCTGGTATGAGAGGCGAAGAGCAAATGAACTCATTACACCCAATGTTAAATATAAGCAGAAAAAAAAATTGAACAAGTTTATGAATATGTGGTCTCAACTGATCTTATCTTTTCAAGGCCGAAACCATTAGAACAGTGGTTCTCAACCTTCCTAATGTTGCTACCCTTTAATACAGTTCCTCATGTTGTGGTGACCCTAACAATAAAATTATTTTTGTTGTTACTTAACTGTAATGTTGCTGTTGTTATCAATTACAATGGAAATATCTGTGCTTTCTGACAGTCTCAGGTGCCCCCCTCCCCTCTGATAGGGTCATTCAATCCCCCAAAAGGGATCACAATCCACAGGTTGAGAACCTCTGCATTAGAATGTGAATGTGGTTGGTAACTGTCTCTATAATTCCATCACATACCATAGGGTCTGACTCCCTGGAGGAATACCGGAGGTTTTGGGTAGGAAGGAGAGTGAAGAAGGATAAAGAAAAGGAAAAGATCTCTGACAAGCCTTGAATTGTGTCTGTTCTGGAAGACCATGCTTAGTTAGTGACAGATCAGTGTACAGGATCATGTGAAGGATGGTGTGGGCAGGAGCCTCAGCAGAAATGAAAACCATTGCAGTTACTAGACTCCAGTTTCACCAGAGACAAGGGTGTCTGACTATGTGTGCTTCTAAGTAGACTGGAGTCAAGCTGGGAAAGGGGTTCTACAAGACTCAGTGAAGTAGTCTGTAGAGGGAAGACTTTAGTGCCCAACTTTGTGGCTTCTACAGGCCATACTGGACAGAGAAGAACTGTCTCAGGTCACACAATAAACCCGAAAACATTACTAAGAGTTAATGAACCAAAATCAGGTCTATGTGCTCTTTTTGTGACATCTGCCACTGCAAATAAGTAGCACCCTAGTTAAGGGCGGTCATGTTTAGAGAGTCTTTGAAATCTTAAAGCAGGTCTCGAGTTTGTGATCACTAATAAAGAAAATGGGCATGCATAAGTTGTAAAACTTCTAAGTAATAAAACTTTATTTTTTAAATACATTTTTATTTTACAAGTAAAACAAAAGAGGGCCACATAAAACCGTATTTCTCACAGCTTCTGAGAAATGGATGCATGACTACCCAGTCTGTGGAAGCAGTTGTGGTTCTCAGTGAGTAGGGGTTGGTGTACTGCACACAGTCTCTAAGACACAAGTGCATGGCTATCCAGTCTGTGGAAGCAGTTGCGGTTCTCAGTACTCTCTCAAAGCGCTCACCAGACATTTTGACTGTAGTTTTACTCTTACTGTGCTTCCTTCTTGAAGACAGCTGTTCCCAAATGTAGGTGCTGCCCAAAGGCAATGACATGAGTGGAGCATGGTTGAGAAGTGAGGAGTGTTTGTTTCTAGATAGACAGAATCTGGTAAGTTTTGTAAAGAGACATGTTTAAGCCTATTGGTAAGTTGAATATCAGATTGCAGCTTTATGCTACTTGAAAATTGGCAGGTAGAATGTTGTAAAATATTAGTTTAGGATGTGTTACATTCATTTATGCTGTGGAATATTTCATTGTGCAAAAATGTGCTATATTCTTTTATGTTGCATTTGTTTAGCTCTGTGAAGTTGTGCTACTTGGTCTGCCTAAAACACATGAATGATCTAATAAAGAGCTGGACGGTAAATAGCTAGGCAGGAGAGAGAAATAGGTGGGGCTGTTGGGCAGAGAGAGTAAATGGGAGGAGAAATCTAGGCTCAGAAGTGAGCGAAGAGCAAGAGAATGAGGGAGAACACCAGGGGTCAGACACTCAGCCACACAGTCAGCCGCTAAGTAAGAAAGAAAGATATATAGAATAAATAAAGGTAAAAAACCCACAGGCAAAACATAGTTAAAGAGAAACAGGATAATTTAGTTAGAAAAGTTGGCCAGAAACATGCCAAGCTAAGACTGGGCATTCATAAGTAAGAATAAATCTCTGTGTATTTATTTAGGAGCTTGGTGGTAAGTTCCTAAAGAGTACTAATTAATTAATTAATTAATGGAGTTACAAACTTCAAATAATTGCAGTTATTTCCCAGAAATCTTTTTTAGATGTATTTAGTTTATTCTGTATGTTCAGATATTTTGCCTGCATATAGGTCTGTGTACCACATGCATGCCTGGTGGCCTCAGAGGTCAGAAGAGGGTGTCAGGTTCCCTAGAACTAGAGTTACAGATGCTTGTGAGTTGCCATGTGGTTGCTGGGAACTGAACCTAGGCCCTCTGCAACAGCAACAAGTGCTCTTAACTGCTGAGCCATCCTTCCAGCTCCACCTTTCCCAGAAATCCTAAAATCTGTTTTCAAATTCTTGAATCAAATCAGAAAGCAAGGTTATATTTTTCAGCGTCCATAGGATTCTGTCTAGCCAACACACTGAAATGTGTAAACATCTTTGCCTTCATTTGGGATTGCCAAATTTCAGTTTTATTTGAAATGCTTGCTGTGATTTATATTTTAACATTATATTGATATCATATATTAATATTATGTTGCTAAGTTGGTTTCTACCTTGAAGACAGATGTTTGAGTCCCTCAAGTGAGCAGAGTCCACTAAAAATGCAAACTATGTAAGTCCGGTGTTATCATCTAGGTCTGGCACAAATTTTGTTTTGAAGCCATAAATAATGTGGTAACACCATTGCAAACCATTAAACCTTTTCAACATTCGGCCTTGACTTAACTCTTGAAAAGTAAATGATGTCACCATGAATGATGTCTGCATCAACGCATGAAAGGAATTCCTACAATGGACAATGACCACGTACCTGCTTGGCCCTTGTGAAATTTGGCCTTGGTGAAGATTTGCACGACATCATCATTTTTTAGTGCTTTGGGGCATAAATTTTCTTTCTTTTAAAATTATGAGGATTTCATACATGTCATCTCCATCCCCAACCCCTACTTCCAGCTCTTCCAAGGACCCCTACATTACTCTTCCAACTTTATTCCTTCATTTTTTGGTAACTCGAGACCAGTTACTGCTGACCACATGTACGTGGGGGTAGGGCCATCCACTGAAGCATGGACAACCTACCAGGGACTACAACCCTGAAGAAAATGTATGGCCGCTCCCCTTACTTCATTAAATGTGAGTTTTAGACAGAAATTGAATTGTCTTCTATTAACTTTATGTCATCGCGCTTTTACTTAATGGCTGTAACAGACAGGTTGACATTGGACAAAGAAAATAATTTTAACATATATATTCTACTGCCTCACACAAATCTTTTTATTTATTTATTGTCTTTTAAGAACTTTTAAAAAGTAATTTCTTGCGGGTGCGTGCCTAGATGTGTGTATGTCCACGTTTGTGAACCACCATGTGGATGATGGAAACTGAACACATACACACAAAATAAGTAAATAAAAATGTAAAAGAGACTGGGGAAGATTTTGTGAGGTGGTAAATAGTCTTAGAAATTTCCTTAACCATCACAAAAGAATTCTAGGGAAAAAAAAAAAACCTAATTCGTGAAAACTATTTCATTAGGAGTTAAGACAATATGAAGATTTCTAAAATACCTTTGACTTCTCAAAATGTTAGGAAACTAGTGACTACTTACAGAAATAGACCTTTCTTCCTCAGTGATACTTTGAAGAATGTGTGAATTAGGTTGATAAGTTTGTCCAGCCTCACCAAGAACAATTTGAATAACAACAGCAAATTACCCTCTGTTCTTGTTCACAGCTCACATCGCTCTCCCTCGAGACTCCAAGGCTTTGGAATAGTACAAACCTGATTTGGGGCCATCCTACTTCAGTGCTCAGTGACATCTCCTCCCCCACACTTGTGTCTTCAAGTTCTATGCTTCTTCCTATAACCCTTTACGCTACGGCTTGGCTGTTTGAATTTACAGGATTCAAAGATGATGACTGAGCAGAAATATACACAGCTAAGAGTTTTTTTCTTTCCCCTAAGACATACAATGAACATAAAACCGAGGCTACGTTTCCCTTCGAGACTGCTCTCAAATGACAGTCTCCTCCATCCTCTTAACCTTTCACATTATTTCTGAAGCCATTTCATCCTCCGTCGAAAATGCCAACCTAAAAATAAGCAATCTCCCTGAAAAGGATCCAGATGGAAACAGAAAAGTATGTACACACTCATTCAGTCTGAAAAACATTTTCTATATTTGCTGTCCGACTTACGTTGTTTCTCTTCATTTCTGCCTCATCACAGAGGGGTGCTGGAGACGCAGAGAAATGTTCGGACCCACTGAAACAAAATTCATTTTCCAAGGCTTTTGATTCCAGGTGGTAATCATTTATTAGGGCCCTTTAGAAGTTCAAGAGTATATTGAAAATGAATGTGATTTATATATTTTATTTAATTGAGCTGAAATTTCAGCTAATTATGTATATTCTTAAGAAGCAAACATTTTGTTTCAAGCAGCTGGGAAGTGAAGGCTTTATCAAGCTCACCTGGCAAATTCCCTAATTCTTTGGCTCTAAGAATGAGGAAGACTTTCGAAGACAGGACTGCTGCTCCTTAGACACAGATAACCAGACCATGAGAACGGTATGAAAGCACTAAATTATAAGCAGAGTGAGAAATGCAAATACCAGACTAACTGCGATCTGTAATAAGCTGATATTTTTAAAATTCTCTTTTTAGAAGAGAGAACAACATCCACAGATATACATACACACACATTGACATCAGAAGGGACGTTGTGCTTGTTGTCAAGGAGTCTTTGATGTCAGTTCACATTCATCTCGAACACCTACGTCTTTCTTATCTATAGCCCCATCTAAGGGCAACTGGTCTCCAGAATGAGAAATGTGAGACACCACAAGATGTTGAATCACTAAGGAAAAAAATAGCACTTATATTTTGTACCAAGGTAGGTCAACTTTCTGTGCTATATTAGGACATTTATCAGAATAAAAAATTGATATAAAAATCATTGGCTGAATAGATTATCTTTTAAGTCATAGAGGGCTCATTCTCTAAGCAGTGCTTTATAAAATGTCCCAAGCTGTCCCTGTTTGTGACGACCCACGCCTTTAATCCCAGCTCTTGGGAGGCAGAGGCAGGCGGATCTCTGTGAGTTCAAGACCAGCCTGGACTACCAAGCGAGTTCCAGGACAGCCTCCAAAGCCACAGAGAAACCCTGTCTCGGAAAAAAAAAAAAAAAAAAAGAACAGCCAGGACTTTGTAGAAAGACCCTGTCACAATAACAAAAGTGTTCCAAACACAGCACTTAAACCTTGATAGGTTCAATTTCACATGAATTAATGGCCACAATTTTTGCTGCCTCAATTTCAAAGTTCAGGTGCTATAAGGGTAATTAAACTGTTGTATCTGAAGATGATGAGTTGAAAACTAACCCTTTAAGAGGTTTGAAGGGTGTCTGTGGGAGACAGTTGTGAAGCTTGGTCTATCTGAGGGGCCCTGACACTAGGACCAGGATCCATCCCTGGTGCATGAGCTAGTTTGTTAGAGCCCATTCCCTAAGGGGATGCCACTCTCAGACTTAACGAAGAGGGGTGGAGCTTGGACCTGCTCCAACTTAATGTGCCAATTTGTGTCAACTTCCCATAGGAGCCCTTATCTGTTGGGAGGAGTGGATGGGGGGAGTGCTGGGGGGCAATAAGGGGGGGCAGGAGGAGGGGTGGGAAGGAGAACTTTGGAATGTAAAATGAAATTTAAAAAAATAAATATAAAAAAAGGCTTGAAGGGGAAGAAAGCACAGCTTCAACCCTTCCTGTTCACAGATTCAAATCCCAGCACCTACATCTTGTTGAAACTGAGCCTTTGCCAAAGTTGGATGTGTCTCTCCTCATTTTGGCTCTTTAAGCTGTAAAATGCTGGCATGAGGCTAAAGGGTAGCTGTTGTTCCCTGGGCAGGGACCTTTCATCCCCTCTATTTTGCCTCGCCTAGTTTGCTTTCTGATGCTGTGATAGACACCAATACCAAAGGGGAGAAAAGGGCTTATTTCCTTTTACAGCTTACAGTCCATCATAAAGGAAGGGACGGGAACTCAAGGCTGGAACTGAGGCACAAGCCATGGAGGAGTGGTTTACTGGCTCGCTTCCCCTGACTTATCATTGACCTTTCATTTACAGTCTGAGCCCATCTTCCTAGAGATGGCAGTGGGCTTGGTCCTCCTACACCAATTAGCAATTAAGAAAATGCCCCACAGACCTGACTACAGGCCAGTCTGTTGGAGGCAGAGAGTCCATCTTCCAAGGTATGTCTAAGTTTGTCAAGTTGACAACCATCACAACACCTCGTTTTGCATTCTTTGTAAATTTAATTGCATCTGTTAGTGTCTAACATATTATAGAGGACCAATAGGATCGGCTAACTGTTAGCTAACTGAATGAGCAAATGAGTATATGAGCAAACAATCCAACCATCTCCCTTTTTATTCTTCATGGGGTGTAGTAGAAAGAGATACAGAAAACAGATTGCCTCTCTAAAGGAATGGAAGCTAGCTGGCTGACCTGCCATCCCCAGCTCCCTGCCCATCAAACACAAACACTACTACCAATTAATTGTTGCGTCTCTCAATTCCATGCCCACTTGTGGCCCGTGGCATCCTGACAATATACTCAGGAAAGCTTACTCTGGGAACTATGCCTCTTTGACCATGTACCCAAAAAAGGTGTTTCAGAACTGGTTTGTGCAGGGTGCCAAAACTACCCTATCATTTGAATATTAAAATAAGCAAGCTGCAACACAACTCCCACCCCTACCTCCATCCAGGAAGCAAGAGGCACTAAAACCAGCTACGTGAACATCTAACCCAAAGAACTAAAGTCCGGGGCTGTGCTTGGTGACTGCCAGAAAAAAAGAAGCAAGGCATTCTGTTTTCCAATAGGAAGTTTTGTAAGCTTCATAAGGCCATTTCAACAATGTAACCTTTCCTGAAATAGGGATGTAACCTTAAGGAGGCAAAGCAGACCTTTGCTTCTCCACAAATGTGGAAACATTTTAAATAAACCCCGTTTTCACGAAATAAACCACTCCTTTGGTCACTTTCTGTGTCAGGAGGCCCACGTCACTTGCTTGTCCTCAGTGCTTTATTCTTGGGCAGTCCCAAGTGAATCTGGCTCTCCAATTCCGTACCACACTGCCATGCTTTGCTTAGATCCCTTACCAGCTGCTGACATTTTCCCCCCATAGTCTCACTATTTCATTATAAAGACCAGAGAAACAGGCCCTTGTTCCCAGGCAGGGAAACACAGAAGCTTCGTTTGTTTATTATTTTTAACCATTATGCATTTGTGTGCTTCATAGCTTCTTCAGCAATTGTTCAGCACTGGATGTATCGACCTGTGATTGAGGTCAGCTGCTCCGCCCCCAGGGTGTGACAATCCATAAACTCCTGACTGCAACAAATCCCCTTAAAGTTCAGGCTTCAAACTCAAGGCCACCAGCAATTAATCTCCAAATAGTCTATGTCTACCATGATATAGTCCCCAGTGGTCAAATTTTCCTCTAACAATACTTAGAATGTGTTTTTATTAGCCTGTTCCCTCTTTACCCCTGTGAAAAATGCAGATAGGCAAGCAAGGGAAAACAAGTCCGCAGTAGCATCATCCAAAGGCACTCACAAATACCTAAGCACACAGGGAGATTTTAAATAGTGCAGTCTGGCCATCTTTTTCAATTGACATAATAAAATAAGATTTTTTTTCCCCACCTAATGCTCTTACTTTGTTACCAGGGTATACAGCTCAATGGGTCATAAGTCTCTGGGTAAAACGACATTTTAAACAAAAAGATGGCTTTCTGCCACTTCAAATCCCTTACCAAGAGCACTTTGACAGGTTCCATTTGCCCTGTTTCTGCTTCGTAAATCTCATCGTGCCTAGCGGGTCTTAAGCTCTCACAATGGGACCCTTCAGTTTCCTTTTGCTTCAATATTGATTGCTTCTGGCAATTGAGAGTAGGAAGGGGAAGATTGGAAGCAAATACAACAAAATATTGATTATGGTCAACTGAATGATTGGCATATAGGCATTGGTTATATTGGCTTTTGTAGTCCTACAGCTTTAAAAAAAATTAATGCATTTTAGCTGGGCAGTGGCGGCTTTTATGCCTTTAATTCCAGCACTTGGGAGGCAGAAGCAGGTTGATCTCTAAGTTCAAGACCAGCCTGGTCTATACAGAAAGTTTCAGGACAGCTAGGGCTACACAGAAAAACCTTGCCTCAAAAGAACAAAACTAAACAAAAAATACTAATACATTATAACATTTCTTTCATGTGGCAGGGAAGAATCAGGGCATGCCACATGTCAGGGTGCATAGGTGGAGAAAGGTTAGGGACACCTGATAGGAATAGGCTCTTGTTTTCCATGTTGCGGGTGCTAGGGATTGAACTTGGATCATCAGACTTGGCAACAAGGGTCTTTATCCACTAAACCATCTCACCCACCACCTACAGGTATTTTTAAAATGTGGTCCCTGTGTTTAAGAAGTTCAGAGTCTGGCATAATATATAAGCAACAACAATTACACTCAAGTCTTGCACACTGGTTATTACTCTGGGAGACTTTGTTCTCATTTTAATATTGTGTGGTGGTATCTGCAGTTAGGCCTTCATCATCAAGGCCTCACTCATGAAAGGCAAGACTCTACCACTGAGTTCAGTCCAGAGGTTCTAGAAGGTTCTCTCTAACCATTAAGGGAAGAATATAGAGGATGCCACTCTTTCCCACCTGGTGCCTTTTTGTGGAGACTATAAAAAGGCTTCCTCCAGAGCACAAAGTTTGAAGGCAGGTGGTTTCCCCCGGTGTCAGGTAAAGCTAGGGCTGTACTATGGAAAGAGCCCTGATGGGCACAAGCAGAATCTGGACCATAGTTTGGAGGAGAGTCCCTTTTCAGTAAGCCTGGAGGTGTCCTGTGTCAGCATAGCCAGGGGGTGTCCTGTGTCAGCATAGCCAGGGGGTGTCCTGTGTCAGCACTGAGCTTGCAGAGCCGGCCATTTACAAAGTGTCAAGTCCCACTCATCCAATTTCTCACTGGCTGATGAGGATCTGACGGAGAAGGTGAAGGGGATATTGCAATTGCTTTGCTCACACCCTTAAAGGGCAGTGTACAAGAGGGCTGGAGAAGGGCACGGAGACAGATAGGCTAATCAGAAGGGTCTAAGTGAGAATGATGGTGGCTCATAACAGGGCAGTGGCAGAGAGAAAGGAGGGACAGGTGACCCCTCTTTAGAAGAAGATGAACCCATAAGAAGATGAAGCAGGTACAGGAGATGAAAGCTGGGCAACTAAGGCAGTGTGGGGTTTATGACACAGAAAGTGGGTTGAAATTGCCTAAGTTCAGAGAGTAGGAGAACCAGATAGAGAAGTTTACAATACACTGAATTTGGGGAATCTCTGGCACATCTTGGAGTTGCCCATGAGTTCACAAGGTGTTTACAGATGCAGTGAGTCTGGGTAAGTGTGTTCTCTGGACCAGCAGTTGATACATTAAGTAGATGCCACATTGGCTGAGACCATGATGATATTGAATGTGTCCCAGGAGGAGCGAGGGAGAGAGAAGAGAACAGAGGCTGTAGCTCTGATGACACTCAGAATTTAAGGACTAGGGAGAGAAGAGAGGCTGCAAAAGAGACTGGGTGGTGGTTCCCTGGGTAGAAGGAAGAGTGGGTGTGGTACCAGTGTGCATCCCAGGTGCTAATGAGGAGATCACACAGTTAAATCAGGATTATCAGATAAAATACAGCAAATTCGAATTACACTAGAAATGAATACCTTTTTTAAAAAATGTAAGTATGTCCCTTGTCTTGTCCCCTACACTTGTTTTCAGGCAGGGTCTTTCTGTATAACTCAGGCTGGCCTTGAACACATCATCCTTCACCTCAGCCTCTTGAGGGCTGGACTTGTGGGCCTGTGTCACCATGCACACAGCTGTACTTGCTAAATATGGTAAGCCTA